TGTGTGTGTGTGTTTTGGGGGGGATTTTTTGTTGGGGTTTTCGCTTTGCCCCACAGATTTGGTGTTTTCCGGGGTGGCGGTCAAAACGACGGCGTTTATCGGGCGGACCCGAATGCCTGAGAAACAAATAAAAAAAAAATCACAACACAGGACAGAAAAGGAAACGAGACAAAGTGCGAGATTCACGAAGTAATTGAAACAGCCTTGCGGACCAGTTCAATGCGGACTACATTCCAAATCAACACAAATTAAAACCGTAGCTAAACATTTCTTCCCGTGAAGCTTGCGTTCTTATTCAAGGGCAACTCATTTTGGGGTTGGTCGGTTTTCCCCAATTGTTGATCAAACCGGTTCGGGGGAATACATTTCGGGGTTTATCGGTATGTACCGATAGAGAGAAAGAGAGAGAGGGGGTGAAAGGGAAAGAAAGAGAAACACTAAACGTCTTATTGGCACCGAATGCTAGAGTCAGTGACAGGTTAAAAGTAAAGTCAAAGCTCCTCCCACCTCTCTCCATATGAGCAGAGCGAACGCTGGAGAGGAGGTTGCCTCCTCTCCAGCGTTTGCTTTGCCAAGGGGGAAAGATGGGAGAGGAGTTACCCCTCAACTCTTCATCTATAACGTTCCAACCATGGTGCTCCCGTGCGCATCTTTTTTTTCTCTTTTTTTTTTTATCGACGCGGTGAAAAGAAATGCTGCGTCAGACATTTGTACCAAAATTAAGACAATAATATACGGTATTGCTCATACGCTCCTTGATAACACGCAACGTGGCACCTGCCACAAAATCACAAAGATTTGAAAAAAAAAAAAAAAGTTCACTTTCATGAGTGTAAACGCCAAGGAATAGCAAGACTCAACAAGTTTCGAAAAGGAAGTCGCGGAAGCATTACAGTCTAAGTAACATTAGAAAAAAGACAATTGCTTTGAAAGAATCGCGGTGCATTCCAGTGTCATCTAGGCTACACACCGTTTCGCTTCAGGTTTGACCGCGGCCGACACGACGATTTGACGAAGCTAATCAAGCAGCCCCAAAAGTCTGATAGTCTCGGCGCTCCTTGTCTCTGTGGATTCTGCCATCGCCGGCTACGCCAATCACGCACAAAAAAACAAAAACGCGGGGTCGGTGCACGTTTACTGCGTGATTGGTCCTACTGAGCAACAAGAGTTCGCACCACCGAAGTGCCTTCTTGAGCAAAGAGCTCGCATTTGTATAGCCTAGTAGTGCCATTGCCAATCCGGTTGGAATGTGTGAACGAGTCATATGAGAATAGACATAGCCTCCTATATACTGACAAAGCCTGGCAGATGGCCACGGGAAGCGGCCGCCGAAATGGAAAAGGTGGAGCGGCAGACAGCGGATGAGAGGAGAGCCACGTGACTGGCGCCCCGCAGCGGCGAGACGACGAAACACACTTCTCCCAAGCGAGCAAGTGTGTACGAGGTCCTCGCTGCTGCAAAAGCTGTGCGCTGGCGTGCAGGGTTCCCGAGAAATGGCTCTTTGATGCTTTGTGCTACCAGATCCTCGCGCTCCCTTTCTTCGACCGGGCGCAGTATGGCTCCGTCGTCAAACTGCCCAGATTTGTGAGTATAGAGGAGGCCATGCCCCTAACCTATAATCACCGAAAGGATGAGAACGGCAAGGTGTCTCTTTCGAATGCCCGTGGCCTCCATGCACGCGCTCGTATAGCCTTCCGTCGTGCTTCGGTTACGTGTGCGCGCTCGAGGCTTACAAGTCCCCAAAGCGTCATCGAAGGTAAAGTTTGCGCCGAATGCGGAACAGCCGAAGGACCTTCCTGCCGCTCTAGTCCTGTCCGCGACTGTAGACCAGCACGTTGTTTACAACACGATTCAGTGTTTTTCCCACACCACCGTGCGTGGCCTGCCCGTGAGCAGAAACCGGAAGTGAAGCCCCCCGAGCATGCGCCATGCCGACAGCAAAGCGCCACCACAAAGGCGTGATATATGGCGGAGCCGCGAGTCGATCCATGCCTCCTCTTGCAAGGTATCGTAGAACTGGCAACTGTGTAATTAGATTTTGTTTTAGACAATCTGCTTTATTATGGAGGTTAAAACCGTTATACTAAATCACAGAACTTCAAGTTTTTTGTTGTTGTTTTTTTGCTTTTTTTGTGTGAGTGTGTTTGGGGGGTTCGTAGGGAGGGGTTTTTATTATTAATTTCCGTACACAACAAACTGTAGCTATAGCTGCACAAACATAAAATGGAATTTATCGGTGGAAATTCTGTATGGCATGATCTAGCTCATAAAATAACTGGGAACAAAATAACGTAAAGATGATAGCGAGCGAAAGTGCAGCATTGGAAACAAAGAAAGCTGTCTTTATTTTTTTTTAAGAAGGGGAGGCTGTTGGTGTTTTTTATAGCGTGTCCTTGGGAATGCAGCATTATCAAAACCTTGGTGTTTGCGTTCCTGTCAAATGTGTACCACTTATACGCACTACAAGCGAAACAAAGCGAAGAAACAACCGTTGAATTCCCTATCCACGTTATGTATATTATTGGTTCTCGAAAACAAATAAAAATAATAGTAATATTTCCCGTACATATAACTGTGTATTCTTTGTCTAAATAAAGTGCCAGTGCAGTCGACTGCATCAGGAATTATTATTTCCAGTGACTACTCTCTCAAGATAGCTGTAATCTACATAAATTGGATAAGGACCTCTTTATGCCAGGGTCGAAAGAACACAGCTCAAGCATCGCACTTTCACTCGAACTTTCATGGCCACGTATAAAAAAAAAAAAAAAAAGCTTTCTCCTTTTGCCACAAAATACCCAACCGAAAAAAAAAAACGAAACAAAACACAAAAACGAACGTCTTTGTAACACTAGTTGAAAGGAGGATTGTTTTGTCGAGATCTATAATCATGGACGAAATTAATAACACTTGAACGTCGAAGAAGACAATTAACCAGATGAGCCTTCCTCTTCGGTTCCGCAATGTCCACACCTAATAATCTTCCCAACGTATGTCATTCCTCTTGAGAAAATAACAAGACTGTCCGAGGAAGGGTATAGAAATACACGCCAGTTCCTATTACTGTCTACGTCATCAGCAAACATACGGCATTCTATAGCGACGTTTCTTTTTGCTTTCGCAAGATAATGGTAGGAACACAGAGAACGCAGCTCCTCAACACAAAGTGCGTCACGCATGTGAATCAGTTATAAGCCGCGGGGATTGAAATCTCAGTAGGGTAAAGCCGGCGTCACACTTCTCAAACATCATGTAAAAGACACGGTGTTTTGTGCACGCATGATGACATGGTTATCTGCGTCATGCCCACAAACCTGTTCGAAGCGTGTTTTCTAGATACAGGTGTACATGCTCAAACTTGTCCGCAAGAAGTTCTTTTTTATGATTGATGTGAAAGGAGAGTCAAGGAAGGCAGAAACACACCTCAGGAAACGTCAACAAATTGTCTTTTGTATTATTTATTGGCAAAGTGACTGTGGATTAACGAGCCAAAAGAAATGTCTAGTGGCACTGCACGCGACCGCGGGTCTGATGAGTTTGCCCTGCCCTGCTCTGCTCGAACATTGCTTTGTGTAGAGTACTATAGGGAGTATACACTGGACGCCATATTTGTGGGTGCTGTTTAGAGCGCATGCTCAGAAGGATCCCACAATAATATGCTGCTAAGACCGGCACTCTTGATGGTGCGGAATGCACGTTGCAAAAGAACTGTGGAAGCTCGCCATCAGCACGCGCTCAGCATTCGCGCACACAGCTATGGCCGCCAGTGAATACTCCCTATAGGGAGGTCGGGAACCTGCATGGGTTTGAGTTTCGACTTTTTCGAACTTCTACCCCGAAGTCCCACAGAAGTTCGACTGAAGTTCAAATACTTTGTGCATGCGTGGAAATTGAAAACGATCTGACGCCCCCTGACGGAGGAAGGGTGCATTGTTAATGAGGCGCATAATATCTACCTCGTAAATACGGTGTTCTCTTTTATTGTCCTGTTTGTTCTAATTTTTAGTGTTTGTACAGTGACCAATGTGTCACGGGAAACGGTGCTATCTTACATTGGGTTGTTGTAGTTGATTTTGTCCTCTTGTATACTAGAGGTATTCACACGAGAGAAAAATTTGCGCGGCGATGTGTGCGACGTGGACAGCAGGCGCCATTTCTTCCTCGGCTTCGTCGTTCACTGCGACGGAATGCCGGGGGGAGGAATGTCAGCGCAAATACGCCAGCGTTTGCAGTTCATTTAAGCGGTTTCCACACTTGACACCGTCGCAGACGAATTTACCGAGCTCTACATTTGGCACCAAATAGTTTAACAACAAAATATTATTGAAAATAAACTGATACGCCATGTCAAAACAAACACGTTTGACGGCCTAAAGATAATTTTATACCGTAACGACTGTTAGGAAGTTTTTCGTGTTTTTTCGCGTGCAGTTACATCTTCGAGGAGAACAAACCTGATATTCAGATTCACTGAATAAAAATACTTTAGAATCCACCTCTATTTCGTTTCTTTCAAGAACCTTTTTAGGCTTCCTTTGAGCGACCGACAAATGAAGTAATAAATAAATAAGCATTTGTTTCTATTAAAAAGTAACTTAATTATTAAGGTCCCCTGTGTTTTTCATTTATAACGTTCAACCATTTGCCACTACTTTTTTAAATTGCATTAAAAAAAAAACGCTACTGTTCAAAATATTTCCCCAATACTTGAAAGTTGCGCGCTGAAGTCAAACAAAAATCTTTAAAAAATCGGACCTTGTCGAATTTTTTTCAAAAAGTTCGAAAGTTCCCCGAGTCAGTCGATCCTCGAGCTTCGACAGGAGTTTGTGACGTCCCTGGTTTCCACCTTTGCAGCAAAGTCACAGTAACACTACTAGCAGATGCGTGAGACCTGTCAGCAAACAATTCTGTCATCATGTCCGCATGAAACACCGTATCTTTTGCATAATGTACGAGCAGTGTATCTGCTGCTTAAACGTCACACGGTTGGCGCTTTGCAGGTCGGCAGCGGTTGGGAGGAACCCTGCAACGCCAGAGTCTGCGGAGGACAAGCTGTCGCCGCTGGACGATGCGCTCAAGAACCGGCGTCTGGGACGTCCTTCGGACTTCCGTTGGGTCACGAGGACATGGAGCTACCCTGTTCCCGTCTGGTCGACGCGACGCAGCCCGCCGCAGCTGTGTCGCGCCGTGCTCGAGTCTTCGGGGCTGCAGGAAGCCCTCGCCGAAGCCCAGAGGAACTCGGACCGGTCCGCGAAAGACCTGGACCGCGAGGCCCGGGCGTACCTGTCCATTCTGGCGCACAAGTTCAAGATGCCCGTGGTGCGCATCTGGGGCTTCTTCCTGTCTAAGGTGAGCCCATATGAAGGTCACCGTGACCGTTGACGTAAGATTATGTGGTCCCAATGGCACACGTCTTTGAGGGTGTCCCTGGTGCAAGGACACGGCCGTCGGTTAGATAAAGTGTCCTTTCCCTATTATTGTGAGAGACCAACACAGTACCCGTTAGGTAAGAAAGTCGAAGCGCTGAATTTGAAATGTTACTTTAAGAAGGCCAACGCGGAGCAGATATTGGAAATAACTGCTGCTTCAGCATTCGGATGCTGACTAAACACGAGTTCGAGCTGAAGTTTGACGCCAATCCTTCTGTTCAACCTGTGATTCACTCTGACCCTCAGTAGGTGACGTAGAAAATGCGCACAGAGAATTTATGTCTAAGAGGTGTTTGTGAAACACAGTGTTTATGAATTGGACCCCCCACACGCGTCCACGAGATCTGAAAAATGATAGTTTTAGTTCAAAATCATAGAGTAATTCTAGTGAAAAGTACTTAACTCTCCACTTTACCGCTATCCCCACCTCAAACATACAAGTTTCTTAATCGTGATTTAACGCCAACGTATCGAGCGATAGTCATGATCGAGCCAATCAGGTCAGCGTTTAACACTGAATGCACGACTGCTAGTAAACAAAACACAGTGCCTCCATGGCACGACGATACATCCTGCCTTCTTACTCTTGAACGGAGTGATTCCGATAAAAACTGAAGCCAATAGGCGCGCAACCTATCCTGGAACTGTAGACGGAAAACATGGCCACAGGATTATTAATTCATCGCAAAGCCCAGAGAAGCGACACAGATAGCCAACCGCTACGATGTCATGCAGTTGCTCAAACGTCTGTACGATCAAATCCTGGTGGAGACCGAGGGAGCGGCGGAGCTGCGCGCCGCCTGCCAGCGTTGTCCGGTCGTCCTGGTGCCCAATCATCGAAGCTACCTCGACTTCCTGATCATGTCGTTCGTCACCTTTCACCTTGACGCCCCGCTGCCTTGCGCTGCGGCGGGAGACAACCTTCTGTCCCTGCGCTGGGTCAGCTCCACCCTGAGGCACGCCGGAGGATTCTTCATCCGCAGGAAGTTCGGGGACGACTGCGTGTACCGCGCTCTCGTCACCGAGTACTTGCATCAGATGCTTCTGGATGGAAGGCATCCCTTAGAGGTGTTTGTGGAAGGCACCCGAAGCAGAACCGGCAAGTCGCTGCCACCGCGGACCGGATTTGTCCAGGTGCGTGCTCTTTCAACGTTTACAGATATTGGCGACGTGTGCTACCGAGGGTTGTTGGGGTTAGCATTTGGAGACTGTCCAACAGCTTGATATGCAGGCTTTAGACATCAATGCCGCCTTAGTGTAAAGCAGAGTGAAGAGCTACTTGTTTTCTACTTTGAGTCGAACTTGGCGATCTGCAAGCTCGACCACCAGGCAACCTTGTGAAACCTTTCGCAGGCCTGCCTAGAACTGTACCGGTCCGAGAAGGTGTCAGATATTCTGTTCGTTCCGGTCAGCATCAGCTACGACAGGGTCTTGGAAGAGACGCTCTACGCCCGGGAAATGCTCGGCCTGCCCAAGCCCAAGGAAACCATAGCTGTACGTAAGAACCTTTCCAATAACCCCCGTCTCCCATCCTCGTCTACTGGATTGTGGGAGGCATTCTCACCACATGCAGTAGCATAGCCTCCTGTACAAGAGGCTGTGGCCGTCGTTCTATTCTGCGGAATGTCAGAACATTTGTCCATATTCCAGTGGCTCGGCATTTTTTCGTGTGAGCGAGAGAGGCGCTGGAGAATCTTAAAATAGACTCACCTTCCATATTCCCTCTCCCTCCCTCACCCTCCCCCCGATCGAGAAAAAATTAATATCCGCTTCCCACTACGTGCACACAGACTCGGTGATCAATAATACAAAAACAAAAACACTTCTGATGGAAAAATTACCTCCACTGTGACACTCATAGCACAACAGCTAATACCGTTGACTGATTTTCAGTGTCTTGGAGTACGCCTAGTTTTTAAACCCGAGCAATGCGCGCGCGCGCATTACTCGTGTGTGTGTGTGTGTGTGTGTGTGTGTGTGTGTGTGTGTGTGTGTGTGTGTGTGTGTGTGTGTGTGTGTGTCTGTGTGTGTCTGTGTGTGTGTGTGTGTGTCTTCGTGGGTGTTCGTGTGCGCGTGTGTGTGTGTTCGTGTGTGCGTGTGTGTGTTTGTGTGTGTTTTCGACAAAATTCGCGAAGATCACAGTGATTACTACCTCCGTCTGAGCTCGGCGGGTAGAGTGGGCATGATGATGATGATTAGGAGTTCAGTGTAGCAACAACGACGAAGGCCGTTGTGCGCCGCCGAGCTACATGTAAGACGGACACGCACGTGCATTTTCTAGAATGTAGTACAGTCGTCATACAAGATGCGCTAATTGTGTACCGGCCACAAGGAAGGAAATACAGGAAGTAGTCGCTGCCGTCCATATAGGCTTCGTGGTTGTGCGACGTCCTTCGACAGAAAATAGTTATATCGGACGTGCGTCTTTCCCCCATTCTCGGCATGGTAAACAAGGTCAAGTACCAGTCCCCACGATGGCTCGCCAAGCCTTTATAGTGGTAGTTTGCGACCACTTATAAACGACATTATTAACGCGATTATCGAAGGAACGAACTCGGGGTTATTTTTTTACAGAAGCGCGGGAACATGTAGACGACATCTCTATATACTTCGTTTCGCTTCAAGTCCGAGTGCAGCCGACGCTGCGACCTCATGGAGCCATCAAGCAGCGACAAAGTGCATCGTCACGGCACTTGTATATATTGGTTTGGTATCATGAAGCTCGCTGCGCTTTTACTGTGCGCGATCGGGTTGGTCTGTAATAACAAGCGCACAAAGGCGATGAGCTATGTGACAATTCACTTTTGTCGCAGCTTGATTGGGTTCATCGGATTTGAGTCAGCTGCAGTCGGACTAAAAGGGGCGATGTCATTCATTTTTGTACTTTCAACAAATGCAGCTTGGGATTTTTTCTAGACATTTGTAACCTATCAAACACACTTTTTTTCTCTCTCTCTTTACGTAATGGTTGTAGCAGAAAAGAAACCAAAGAAAAACCAACACCGTTTACCCCCTCAACTCGCAGCCGGAAAAAAAGATGCCACGTGATCTGTCATGAATTATAATCCTCCATTTTTTTTATCATTATGGTTACGCGTTGAGGTCGGCAGAGCACAAGGCGAGCGTTGAGTTCCACACATCGTTAAAGGGGCACCCCTTTAAGCGCGTTTTGAGATCATCGTTTTATGGTAATAACTCAGTCTACGAACTCTAAGCATCCTAAAAAAAGAAAAAGCACGAAATTCATGCGCGGGCGATTCGCGCGCTAAAAAAGTGATCAAAGGTCCCGACACTTAACGTTGGCGCAGAACGACAGATGGCGCCACTGAACCTTGCTGAATATGGTGCATGATGAACGGCGCTTGTCAGCCACCCGCGAGCGATGGGTTCCCGCGTGGACGAGCGGGACTGGTTGGCCGCTCGTCCATGCGGGAACCCCTCCTGTGGATCACTGTTACCACTGGTAACAATGATCAAGCTTCCGTTTACACCGAAAATTTTTTCCCAAACAACCTTCAAATTAAAAAAAAAAAGGTATTTTGAGGCCTGCACTTACTTCTTATCGCAACGTTTAATCTGCTTACCGCTGTCGTTTGTACAAGCGGAGGATGGTTTGAATGAGTTTAAAAGAACAGACGGCAGTTTGAACGATCAGACGGCTGTTCGGACTTGTACGTAGTTCAACTACTCTACTCAAGTTACTCTAGCTTAACTACTTTTCTGAGTAGTATGGTAACTTTCAATGACATTCTTATTTCGGTAATTAGTAGTTTACTTTAATTACTTTTTTGAGTAACTTCTACTCAAGTTACAAATTACTTTCGAGTTTTAGTGGTTGTTTTGCCTATCAACAAACATTCCTGCACAAAGGTTATACCAAATACCGTTGAGAATAATACAGGAAACTCCGGGCTAAAATGGGAGACGGAAGTAGAAAGCGATCCTGGCGGTGTGGAGTGGACAACTCGCCACTTTCGCCGGAAATGAATCAAGTGGGTCTGACTCACTAGAGAAATTGATAGTCTGTGAAATATTCCCATTTTTTTGATGGAGCATAGGCAGCATAAGCTCGTGATATTGGACCTCTTGGTATTTTGATGTCAAAATGCAGTGTGTTGTATAGACCAGTCAGGATTTGTATAGCGATTTTGCACAATCTAAATAATTATTAACCTTTTCTGAGCTTGTTGATTTATTTGTTTTATTCCTACCGAAACATGCCTTATTAGATGCCCTTGGCTGCAAGTGACCATAATTGGCAATAGGCATCAATTTTTTATGAGACCGACTTGAAATGACTCCAAGTGACTAGAAGGGATTATTACTGATAATTATGTGATTTTTTTGTGTGCTTACTCTTATGAACGGCTTCAAGTAGCTTTTGTTCGCTATTAGCATCTTTGACCAGATTGACCTTAAGTGGCTGCCAATATCTATTGATGAGATAATTGACAATTACCCATTTCGGGCATTGGTGAATGCGCATGGTTTCAACTGGCTATTATTGGCTATCAGCCTCCACTTTTATATATATTTGATAGATATGGGGAGCTACAAATATTAATGAGTAATGAAAACTGAGCTATTTCTGTTTATAAACTGGAATGACTTCAGGTGGCTATTGTTGGCGATTAGAATATATCTCTGACCAGATTGGTTCAGTGGCTACTAAGGGCTGTTAGTCAGTATAATAGCAATTATCTGCTGTCTGAGTGTTTATGAATGAGAATGGCTTCAAGTGGCTATTATTGTCTATAAACACCTATTTTCGAATAGATTGGCTGCAAATGGCTATAAACCTCTATTAATAGATAACTATTGCTTGAGCTATTTTTATATTTACGAAATGGAATAGGCTTCAAGTGGATAATGTTGGCTATTTGTAATTATTTTTGACCAGATTGAATTGAAATGGCTGCTGATGGATATTGATGAGATCATTAAACAATTACGTGCTATTTCGATACTTAAAAATGAGTATGGCTTCAAGCGGCTATTATTGGCTTATGCATCAAATTTTAGATAAATTTGATTGAAATGGCTACAAATGGCTATTAGTGACTAGTGTTGATATTTATGGGTGCTTTAATGTTTACTAACTGGAATGACTTTAAGGGGCTATTGTTGGCTATTAGCATATATTTCTCACCAGATTGGGTTCAAATGGCTAGCAATGGCTATTTGTAAGTATAATTGACAATTATGGGCTATTTCAGTGTTTATGGATGAAAATGGCCACAAGTGGCTATTACTGGCTATAAACATTTATTTTTATTGCAATGGCTTAATTTGGCTACAAATGGCTATTAATGACTACTGTTGATAGTTATGAGAGATTTTTGTGTTCACCAATTGGACTGGCTTTAAGTGGCTATTGTTGGCTTTTATCATCTATTTCTGACCAGATTGGCTTCAAATGGCTAGCAATGGCTATTTGTAAGTATAATTGACAATTATGGGCTATTTCAGTGTTTATGGATGAAAATGGCCACAAGTGGCTATTACTGGCTATAAACATTTATTTTTTATTGCAATGGCTTAATTTGGCTACAAATGGCTATTAATGACTACTGTTGATAGTTATAAGTGATTTTTGTGTTCACCAACTGGACTGGCTTTAAGTGGCTATTGTTGGCTTTTATCATCTATTTCTCACCAGATTGGCTTCAAATGGCTAGCAATGGGTATTAGTGAGCATAATTGACAATTATGTGCTATTTCAGCATTTTTGGATGAAACTGGCTACAGGTGGCTATTACTGGCTATAAGCATTTAGATTGGCTTAAAATTGCTACAAAGGGCTAGTAGTGACTAGTGTTGATATTTATCAGCAGGTTTTATGTTTACTAACTGGAATGGCTTTTAGTGGCTATTGTTGGCTATTAGCATCCATTTCTGGCCAGATTTGCCTCAAATGGCTAGCAATGGCTATTAGTGAGTGTAATTGACAATTATGTGCTATTTCAGTGTTTTTGAATGAAACTGGCTACAAGTGGCTATTACTGGCTATAAGCATTTAGATTGGCTTAAGATTGCTACAAATGGCTAGTAGTGACTAGTGTTGATATTTATCAGCAGGTTTTATGTTTACTAACTGGAATGGCTTTTAGTGGCTATTGTTGGCTATTAGTATCCATTTCTGGTCAGATTTGCCTCAAATGGCTTGCAATGGCTATTAGTGAGTATAATTGACAGTTATGTGCTATTTCAGTGTTTTTGAATGAAACTGGCTACAAGTGGCTATTTCTGGCTATAAGCATTTAGATTGGCCTAAAATTGCTGCAAATGGGTTGTAGTGACTAGTGTTGATATTTATAAGCAGGTTTTATGTTTACTAACTGGAATGGCTTTTAGTGGCTATTGTTGGCTATTAGCATCCATTTCTGGCCAGATTTGCCTCAAATGGCTTGCAATGGCTATTAGTGAGTATAATTGACAATTATGTGCTATTTCAGTGTTTTTGAATGAAACTGGCTACAAGTGGCTATTTCTGG